TCCCGCAGACACCGAAAAAGAACTATTTGAAGATGCTGCCTCCTCACGAAAAACGAGCGTGCAGAAGTCTCGTAACCCCGGGCGTGGTGCCAACCACAGTGGTGTGGGCTGTGGTCGGTGCCGGGGTGGCGAGAGGGGTTAAGGTGCTGGTTAGGGTGGTAGTTAGGGCAGTGGGTGAGGAGGTAGTGGTCAGGGGGAGACCAGGGTTCTGGTGGGTGGTGATGAGCCCAGAGTCAAGGACCAGGGCCGCTTTGGTCGGTAGCTGAGGAGCCATGAAGAGAGGAACGTACTGTCCGTCAGATGCCGACAGGAAGCAGAAACGACAGGGAGAGGAGAAGGAGTAAGAAACACACACAGACACAGACAGAACAACCCATTATTCGGCGATTTTCCATTTTAAAAACCAAAATCAAGAAAGATGCAAAAAACGAATCACAGTGAATTACTGGTAGAAAAGGCAGGGTCACACATCAGCTATTAAAGGAGCCATGCACATCCATCGGGCCGAACTTTACACAACGAGCCTGGTAGGAAGAGGAATTAGAGGCAGGGCAAACAGAGAAAAATGTTTTCCTTTAAATTTGTGGAATGGGTAACAAGGGGGTCATTAGCAGAGAAATCAGGTTAGCAGGTAAAGCAGTAGTGGCCAACCTGTGGCCCATGGGCCGGAGCAGACAGACGGGACCTCAGTTTAACATCTCATTCGAAGAACAGCGCTTCCAATAATGCAACACTTCCCAGCAGTACACTGGAGCGTCAGCTTAGACGATGTGATTCCAAGTCCCGACGTGGGGCTTGAACTCAGAGATCTTCTGACTCAGAGGCAACAGTGCCACCACCGCCCCAGGCTGACTGACATACATCACCCAGAAGGTATTTAGCAGCTGGGACACATTGCCTGGCAGAGAGATTGAGATTCATTTAAAAACACAGCCCGATGTTGTGATGGGAGGGTGGGTGGGGGTGGGGGGATGAGATCAATGTGCGTGTTGAATGGCGCATGGCCCTTTTAATAGAGAGAATGGCTCCTAATGGAGAGCTAGACACATCCAAGCAGGTCACCCAAGCAAACAGTGAGTGTAAAAGCAAGGGAGCTGCAGGCTCAAGGGCTTCAGACTAAATAACCTGGTGAGAACACAGCAAAAGCAGCAGCCGAGACACTTCAGTCCATCTGCCTGGACCAGTATGACACCCACCATGCCCACCCCATCCCGTCCAACATCCATCCAACCATTTGGTCCTCTCACCATCCAAACTCAAACCCCGCCGCCGCTCCGCAATCCTTCACATTATCCTCCCTCGATCTCAATTCACACTTGACGATGTGGTGCCCTTGTTATTGGCACTTGAGCGCACACTAAGGTATTTAGGATCCAGAATACTTCAATAAGATCCTCCCTCATTGTCTCTCTCCAGTGTGATCATTCCCAACCCCCAACGTCCTCTCCTCACAGCAATGACACCGAATCACTGGGAATAGCTCAGACGCCCTTTGTTGGAACTCTCCAATACTGGAACTCTCCCACACTCCGGGCTCTTAAGTAATCCAAATTGGGGTTGTATCAAGCCTCAAGGTTACAGCCTAGGTTTTTCGGATATGTCTCCCCACAGCCCCTACCCCACACCATCCCCCAGCGCGGTGTTTGTGGCAACATTGACCCAGGTTAATGTGCTCGTCGAACTGCATGAGGGCTCTGAGCACTTACGTTCTCGTTGAAGATGATAAGGGGATCCTCACAGCTGGTGTTGTGGGTGCAGTGATGCTGCAGCACACACCAGTTACAGCCCCAGCGGCTGCTCACGCATCCACGGCACCTGTATTGGGCAGCAGGGAGACAACCTGTCAGTCCCCAGCACTGGGACTGGGCTTCCCATTGCTCCAGTCCTTGCTCTGCTCCTTCCACCTGAGTCTCTTTCACAGCGACCCGGGTTCTGCTGCACAAAGGGCATGTGATCGCAGCATCACTGTAAGCCGAAGCCCAACAGATAGGATGGTCCTAGCTGAAAGAGCAGCAGGAAGCTAGCCAGACAAGGCTCTCAATGGCAAGCTATTGCTGTTTTAGCTGGTTGGACTCCAGCACTTCCCCCAATGCACACTCTGGGGTCCCTAAGCCAGGCTCTTTAGAACCTGTGCCCAATATTCTATAGAAATAGGTAATACTCTCTGGAATTAGTAATTAAGCGGTCTGAGACGCTGCCCTGCGTGGAGGGCGCTATATAAATGTTGTTGTAAGCAGGGTGCATCCCTCTGGAGAGGGAATGCGCAATCCATTCTAGGCACAGGAAAATGTTCATGTGTGGGTGACATACATGGAACTCTTAGTTTGGTTTGGAGACTGTTAATCATGGTGATGGGTTTCTGCCTGTGTCAGAAAAACTGTCCTGCTGTCCAGAAAGACAAATCCCACATCCCAGCAAGAGTCGTCCAGAGTCTGACAGATGTATTCGCCCAGGAGTGGGTACAGCGCAGAGTCAGAATGACTTAAAGTGTTAAATTATGAGGCCAGATTGCATAAACTTGGTCTGTATTCCCGAGAGTTTAGAAGGTTGGGGGGTGATCTAATTGAGGTGTTTAAAATTATAAAGGGATTTGATAGGGTAGATACAGAGAAACTATTTCCTCTGTTAGGAAATCCAGAACAAAGGGCATAATCTTAAAATTAGAGCTGGGCCATTTAGGAGTGAAATCAGGAGGCAGTTTTTCACCCAAAGAGTAGTGGAAATATGGAACTCTCCCCACCCAAAAGGCTGTGGATGCTGGAAACATTCACATTTTCAAGACTGAGGTCGATTTGTTAGTTCAGGGTATCAAGCAATATGGAGCAAAGGCGGGTGAATGGAGTTGAGGTACAGATCAGCTAATAGAATGGTGGAACAGGCTCGAGGGGTTGAATAGCGTACTCCTGTTCCTTAGTGCCTCTCATTGGCCAGACCAGTGACAGTGGTGAGAAGGGAAAGGCAGGTCTCTGGCACAGTGACTGGGCTCTGAGCTCAGAGGTGGGTGGCGGGCAGTCGGGGAGTTTATGGCACTCACGGGAAATCTCTGGACAGCTGCTGGACGGCACTGCAGTCGTAGAAGGTGAATTGGGTGTTTGCCACGGTGATGTTGTGGAACAGGAGTAGCAGCTTCACAGTCACGTGATCTTCAAAGACAAGAACAGTTCACGTTCAGCATTATCTACATCCAGATCAAAGATCCTTTCTTTTGATAGCAAACAGGCCCAAGTCTGAATTAGTGTACCCCTATTGGAGCTGGCTTAGTGTTCGTTGCCCGGCTTCACTGTCACTCCATTCCCCCAGAGGATCAAGTTCAAGATCCTTGTCCTCATCCCTAAAGCCCTCCACGGTCTTGCTCCTCCCTACCTCTGTGACCTATTAAATCTTCGCCAACTTGTCCGCTCCCTCCGCTCGGCGAACACTGGCCTGCTCCATGCCCTCACCCTGCCCGCTCCACCAGCGCCAGTCGAAATTTCAGCCATTCTGCCTCCATCCTATGAAACTCCATCATGGAACCCCTCCCCCTCACTCCCTCCCTTGCCTCCTTCAAGGTCCATCTCAAGACCTTCTTTTTCGACTGTGCCTTTGGTCATCTTCTCTCCTCCACCTCCCTTGCCCTCCACCCCTCTCGGATCCCAACCCCTGCTCAGGTGCAAACCCCTCATCGGCCAGTGCTTTGGGGCATCACCCCGACGTAAAAGGTCCTGTGTAAATGCAATTTGTTGTTGTTATTGTAGTAGCCTTGTTAAAGAGTCTGACTTAGTGTACCCCTATTGGATTGTGCCTGAGTGTAGACCTGTTGGACTGTGCACTACTTATGTTCTGTACCTGCTCCTGGTTGAGTGGGAGGCAGTGTGCTGATATCTGGGCTCCAGCAGACAGCTCCTGTCTCTGTGAGAACGGCTGCACTGGTAAATTCCTCAAACAGGCATTTGTAAGATTCCTCTTCTGCCAGAGTGGGCAGGTCAGCCACCTCCAGAAACACCTAGGCCAAGAGAGAGAACAGCGGGGATAACAACCACTACCATCAACACCAAACAGCAATTTACACGCCTTTCACATCAAGAGGACGTCCCAAGGTTGTTGTAAGTTGGTTAAAATGGCATAAAAGAAATGCTTACAAAGCTTCTTCTCCAATCAAGCATTTTAGCGCGTACCCAACATACTCGACCCTTGCACATCCTTGTACCCATATCTTCTAGATAAGCAGACCCTTTTGAGACAAAACAACTTGCTCATTATTCGTCAACACAGGACATCTTGCTTCTCCCTTCCAAGGCTGGAGCCTGTCTCTGTCTGGTAGAAACATTTATAAAAACCGCGGTCCAACTTAAGTAAGTTAGTTAACTCCAGAGCATCGCGGAGTGGTTGCAGAGAACAACGAAGCTTAAAAGGTTGGACAAAGAAGACAGAGGACTGAGAGCTAGGAAAAACACAAGCTTGATCGCTTGAAGAACTAAGGTTTGCTTGCTGTAAAGACAAAGTGCTGAACCTGCAACGCTCAGTAGTATTGCTATGTTTTATTAAGATAGACGCGACGTTTTTATAATAATAATAATCCTTGCATTTGATATAGCGCTTATCACGTCTTCTAGACGTCTCAAAGCGCTTCACAGAATATACTGTAAAGTGAATTGACTGCATATTTGTGGGCGAAAAGCGGCAGCCAATTGCGCACAGCAATGTTCCATGAAAATGACCAATTTATTATTGTTTTTGGTTTTGGAGGTATTATTATTAGGCTCTGTGTGGAGTAAGGAAACTTGCCCAAGGTTTTGCCCTGCTTGGAATTGAACTCAGGTCTCTCGTTTGCAAAGCGAGTGCTCTAACCACTGAGCTACAGGACTCCACGACATGTGTGCATAATTAAAGGTTTGTTTTGATTAAAACATCCTGAGACTCTGATCTGTTGGTATTACCGAATCCGAACCTGTTTTGAGTGGTTGCAAACACTCTAACAAGGTGCTTGACAGTCCTGGCTTTTGAAACCGAGCTGAGGTGGGAGCCGAGGCAGCTTGGGAGGGAAAAGATGACCGAAGACATGGTCAAAGATGAAGGAACTGAGATAGATCTCGACTGAGGTGAGAGAGATGCCAAGTTAGAGGGATGGAGTTCCAGAGAGTTGGGGCACGTAGACAGAGAAACGGTAAGGAGAGAAGAGTGAGTGTGAGTATGGGGATGGGGACAATAACGGAGGCATATGGGGAGTGGGAGGGAGGTGTCAGACAGCTCCAGGATCAGGGGCGGTAGCCAAAATGCACACGTCGAGACCAGGAGCAGGGGATCAGCAGGCATGATGTGTCTGAACTGACAGAGCAATTGCTAATTATTGACTAGCAGACGAGAAAAAAAATTGTGTAATTGTGTAACAATTGTGTATTAGTGAGAGAGGCAAGAGTCAAACCCTCTCGCTCTCCCTCACAGCTGATTTATGAAGCTGATCACCTGTGTGGAACTAGAGAATTGATTTCAGGGCTGTACATTGTTTAACTGTCTTTACATGTCCAGAGGATCAGTGTGAGTGAGTGCCATCATTTTCATGTTAGATAATGATCAGTAGCCACATTCGGCGCGACACCTTCTGTAACATGGATGAAGTGGCGAGGCAAAATAATCTCTGACGCTTGTATCATATTGCTGTTCTGTAACGGGGGTAACAGGACTTTGTGGACACCCTGTACACAGACGGCTCTTCTCACCTGTATTTTCTCTTGTCTGCTGATATTGGCTGGGGTCAGCGACTGTACTTTCAGGCATTGCTGATCTTTCCCATAGCTCCATTGCCACTGGCTTTCTTCCTCAGCTCTGCCACACTCTGACCTCCTGCTGCACCTGTGGGCAAACACCAAGGCTTAGTCGCGCTGCTGCACACGGCTGGCCAGGCTTGGTATTGGACTTATCTGGACTTGCCAGGAGGCCTCAGGTGTCTCAGTGCTGGACAGAAACAAGGCAGATAAAGGGACAAAAACAAGGTAGACAAAGAGAGGCAGAGAATGAAAGAATGAGAGTCAGAGAGCAAGAGAAGAAGAGAGAAAAAAAAGAGGCACAGAGAAAGAGGGAGAGAGGAAAAAAGGGGCTGACAGAAAGAGAGATAGGCACAGAGAGAGACATGGGTACCTGTCAGAGAAGGAGAGAAAGTAAGAGAGAGCAAGAGAGAAAGTTAGAGTGAGAGAAATAGAAACAGAGTGAAGGAGAGAGGCAGATAGTGAGACAGGGAGCAAGAAAATAGACAGAGAGAAAGAGTGAGTGAGAACCAGACAGACACCAAATGTGAAAAGCTAGGAAGTTTTATAATAATAATAATAATCCTTGCATTTGATATAGCGCTTTTCACGTCAGGAGGACGTCCCAAAGCGCTTCACAGAACACACTGTAAAGTGAATTGACTGTATATTTGTGGGCGAACGCGGCAGCCAATTGCGCACAGCAATGTCCCACAAACAGTCGTAGATTGAAAATGACCAATTTATTATTGTTTTGGGTTTTTTGGAGGGATTATTATTAGGCGTGTGGAGTAAGGAAACTTGCCCAAGGTTTCGCCCTCTGCCTGGAATTGAACTCAGGTCTCTCACTTGCAAAGCGAGTGCTCTAACCACTGAGCTATAGGACTCCACATTTCATTCCAATGTGCTGTGTCAGCATCCACCAACCCCAGAGAGAGAGATCAATAACAACAGTTATTAACAGCTGGTTAGAGGCTAATGATTTAAAGCACGTTGGTTGAGTTATTAGCAAATGTCCACCCTTTGATCCAGCAATTTCTGACAGAACATCATCACCAGTTAACCACATCATCCCTGCATGGGCCAAAAGTGTTTCACTTGACTTCTAGAATTTTCTGTGTTTACAGGATCAGTCACAATGATTCTCCCATTCGCACTCGGGTCAGTGAGGGTAGTGTGGAGGTGGAATGCACTAAACAAACTAGTGTCTGGTCTGACGTAAGATTGGTTAATCATCTACTCCTCTCCTCCAGTGATGTTCCCAGGCTCTGTTACACAGCCTGCCTCCTTCCCGTTTCTCCTCAACCTCATGACTGGTTTAGTGAGTCTCTCTCCTCATCTCAGACACACAGGTCCCAGGACAAATCTGTTGCTCAAAACCCTACCCAATGTATGCTCGTTGCTCTCCCCTGCCTCTATGGCCTGGGTAGCCCCCTTATGTTGTGCCGTTTAGAACTGTATTCAGGTACTATCTAACCAGAGAATGCAACTAGAGACAATTCTAAGTGTCTATCTCAATTGGTAACATTCTCGTCTTTGAGTCAGAAGGTTATGGGTTCCAGCCCATCGTGGGACTTTGAACTCATAGTCTAGGCTGACTCTCTAGTGCAGTGCTGGAGGATTTAATTGACTAAGATACTGTCACTCAGATGGTATTTTAAACCGAGGTCCCATCTCAGCTCCTGTTAAGCCTGCAAGCCAAAGCGCTGATGGGTAGGGTGGTCCTAACTGGAGAAGCAGCGGTAGAACTTGCCAGGAAGTGCTATCAATGGCAAGCTATGCCGTTTTACCTGATTAAAGTCCAAGAGTTACCTCAATGCACAACTTGACTCTTGCCAACTTATTCCTAATACTTTCCAGGAAAAAAGAAAGAGGAAGAGAGAGAGAGAGAGAGAGAGAGAGAGAGAGAGAAAGTGCACAATCCATTCCAGACAGAGAGAAATTTCCAGGTGTAGATGGAATGCATGGAACTCAGCCTGGTTTGGAGACTCTAAAACAAGGTGAGTTTCCATGCCTGTGGTTTCTGTATGTGTTTAGACATGTGGAGGACCAAAAACAAGATATCAGCCTGGCGCAGCTCTTGAGTCAGAAGGTTTTGGGTTCAAGCATTATGTTGGGGACATGGAATCACATTGTCTAAGCTGACACTCCAATGCAGTGCTGGGGATGCTGCAATGTTGGAGGTGCCGGCCTTCAGATGAGACGTTAAACTGAGGCCCCATCTACCTGTTCAGGTGGACATTAAAGTTCCCATGGCACTATTCGTAAAAAGAAGGCAGTTTCTCTCTTCCGGTGTCCTGGCCAACAATCCCCCAAATAAAATTGGTCACTCAGACCATGGCAGTTTGTGGGGCATTGCTGTGCAGGTTTCACCCACAAAACGCACAGACAATCCACTAGACAGTACATCTCGTGAAGCTCTTTGAGACATCTCAATGATGTGCTAAGGCGCTATATCAGCAAGGATAATTATTATTATTAACTTTCAGGTGGAGGTATGAAGGTGCAGCTCCACACAGTGACTGACCTGCCCTGGAGAATGCACCAGCCACAGTAGGGGTCTCGAGCGGCCAGACAGGAGGCACAGTCAGGGTGCTGGGGGCACTCACTGAGCGGCAGCCTCACCACCTGGGACCTGGTGGTGACGTACAGGTGTGCGCGCTCACGGTCAAATGCCAAGTCCCCGTTCACTGCCGCGTTGGGCTGGATTTCCAGCCGTGAATACCACTCTGCCTGGTCCCAGTCTCTGATGTAAACCTGACAGAGAGAGAGAGAGAGAGAGAGAGAGAGGGCCACAGTGAGACCCACGCATAGAGTGTAAGAAGCCCCCACCCCATACTCAATGACATTCCCCACACACACACGCACAGTGACACCCCACACCCACACACACAGTGACACCCCCCTGTACACACACAGTGACACCCCCCTGTACACACAGTGACACCCCCCGCACACAGTGACACCCCCCACACACAGTGACACCCCCCACACACAGTGACACCCCCCACACACACAGTGACACCCCCCACACACACAGTGACACCCCCCCCCACACACAGTGACACCCCCCCCACACACAGTGACACCCCCCACACACAGTGACACCCCCCACACACAGTAACACCCCCCACACACTAACACCCCCCACACACAGTAACACCCCCCCACACACACAGTGACACCCCCACACACACAGTGACCCCCCCACCTCCCCCCACACAGTGACACCCCCCCCACACACACAGTGACAATCCCCCCCGCACACAGATAGTGAGACCCCCCGAACAACCCCACAGTGACCACCCCCCACACACACACACAGATAGTGAGACCCCCCAACACACACACACAGCCTCCCCCCTCACACTGACCTTGTGCAGAAGGCCTTTGCTGTCGCCCAGGAAGGCTATGGTGTGCTCCATCTCCACACTGATTGCTACGGCAACCAACCGCACCCGAGCCATGGTCAGCACCGGCCTCACCGTGATGGGAATGTGACTGGCCATCGGGCTGGGCGTGTGGTCATAGCCACACGGGTAGGCGCTGAGCGTGTCCTGTGCAGAGAGAGGGAGAGAGTGTGTGAGAGAGTGAGAGAGTATGTGAGAGAGAGTATGAGGTGTGTGAGAGAGTGTGTGTTTGTGAGAGAGAGAATGAGTGTGTGAGAGAGAGTGAGTGTGTGAGTATGAGAGTGTATGTGAGAGAGAGTACGAGAGAGTGTGTGAGAGAGAGTATGAGAGAGAGTGTGAGAGAGTGCGTGAAAGAGAGTGAGTGTGTGAGAGTGAGAGTGTGTGAGAGTGAGTGAGAGAGAGAGAGAGAGAGTGTGTGTGAGAGTGTGTGAGAGAGGGAGAGTGTATGAGAGAGGGAGAGTGTGTGAGAAAGAGAGAGCATACTGGGTTAAGAGATAGATGGGAAGCAGCACCTCTGAGTAGTTCCAGTTCCTGAGCCAGGTGGATCGGCAATATTCCAGCACTCTGCTGACAGCACAGCCAACCTGGCTCATCGGCAGCACTTGGAGGGTTAGACCAGTCACTGGGGGCAGGGAGTCACCCCACGCAGCTCCTGTTAACCCTGCAAGCCAAAGCCTCTAACGGCTAGCTGGACAAGCAGTGGGAAAGCTTGCCAGACAGCGCTATCAGTGACAAGCTGTGTGGTTTTAGCTGGTTAGACTCCGGCAGTTACCCTAACGCACACTCTGGTGTCCCCAAGCATTGGCTTCAGTTTGCGCCCAATACTCTCTAGGATTAGGTTAGCAGGTAGTGTCCCGTGGGGAGAGAGTGGGCATCCCACTCCAGAGCTGGAGATTTGCATGTGTAGGTGAGTCACATTCAGGCTGTATAAAGCTATAGTCAGGCCTCAACTAAAATTATAAAGCAATAGCTCTAAGCATTGTGACATACAGGGGGCTGCCCAGGCTCTAGAGGCAGAGCAGAGGCTGATCTGATCCCCAGTGTTACAGGAACGAACCACGAGTGAGTGTTCTTTAGTCTTGAGAGAAGACACCTCAGGGGACCTCAGAGAGATGTTTAACATTTTAAATGGGATTGAAAAAGTAAACCCAACTTTTGAGAAAGAAATTCGAGCAATGGTCAGTTCACTAAATGAGGCAATAAATATGTAACTTTTAGTTCATTTTGGATGTGGAAAACCAAAGTTTCTTACTGCCAGATTACTCCAAATGCCTCATTCCGCTTGTGAATGTACTTTCATCCCACTCCATCCTTCTTGCTTTCTTGGTTCTAATCAGTTGCCTACTGCAACTGCAGCTGCACTCTCCCCTAACACATTCCTCCCGACCCCCAACACTCCATGGACCCCTCACCCCCCCACGCCTCACACACAGAAATTCCCACACACACTGTGCATACACACGTTGAGACATTCCCACACACATTTCGTTGGCCAATCTGCGAAAATCTCCCTTCTCTTTACCAATAGCCAGGGGGATCTTTAATGTCAACCAGATCAGGCAGACAGGACCTCGGTGTAACAACAACAACAAACAACAACAAAGTTACATTTGTATAGCACCTTTCACGTCAGGAGGACGTCCCAAGGCGCTGGACAGACAGAGTTACGGACCTGAGCTGAGGGTTGGGGTGGGGGGGTAAGCAGGGAGTTCAAAAGCACAGTCGAAGAGGAGGGTCTTGAGGTGGGTCTTGAAGGTGGTGGGGGAGGGGACAAGACGGAGGGACTGCGGGATGAAATTCAAGAGGGTGGGTGCAGAGTGGCGAAAGACCCGCCTGCCGATAGTGGGGCGAGCGAGGCGGGTGACATGAAACAGGCCGGAGCCCACTGAGCGGAGGGAGTGAACAGGGTGGTAGGGGGTTAGGAGGTCGGAGAGGTAAGGGGGAGCAAGCCGTCAAGGGTTTTGAAGGTGAGGACCAGGATCTTGAACTGTATCCTCTGTGTGATGGGAAGCCAGTAACATCTCATTGTGGAGAAACGCAACGCGTCCCAGCCCCGCGCTGGAGCTGTCAGTCCAGATTGTAATCTCAAATCCCCAACATGGACCTCGAGCCCACAACCTTCTGACCCAAAGGTGAGAGCGTGAATAACTGAGCCAGGCTGATGGTCTGGGATCAGCCAAGGCCTAAACATTGCCCAGAACATACATCAAAAACAAGCATCATTTACCAGCCCAACCCTCATCCCAGAAACCTAGCATGCGGCTCTGCTCACCGAGGTCAGCCCCGTGCAGCTGGACTTCACTTCGTACTCAATGTAGGCCAACTCCTCACCGTCCGGTGTCTTCCCAGACTTGGTGTAGCACAGGTCCCGGGTGCGGTTTATCATGCCGTCAATCTGGCTGAGGGGGAAAAGGCAAAAGGCTGACTCGTCAGTGGGCTTGGCGGTGGCAGTCTGTCCCACGGCAAAGGTGGCGAACAGGACTGCCCCTCCGTCCACGAGTACCCCGCCTGGCCCCGCCAGGCCCTGGCCAGGGCTGCCCACATAGGCTGCCTGAAGCAGGTTGTAAGTCATATCGTCCGTCTGGCACTCCAGGGGCAGCTCCACGTACGAGTAATAGTGCGTGTCCCCCAGGCAGATACGGGAAATGTAAGTCTTATACTCTCTAGAGGCCGACTTTAAGTCCCGGCGATAGAACAGGAAGTAGACAGATGAGCGGTGGATGAAGGACTTGACAAAATGGTGGTTGTATTCGGACAGCCTGCCGGCCACCGCCAGCTTGGCCGTGTCCTCGTAGGAGAAGATGGGATGGGACTCGGAGCCAGCCAGCCTCAGGTTGCGGGTGGTGATGGGGGGAATGCCCCCGGCCCCCTTACTGGTGTAGCCACGGCCAACAAACAGCACAGGGTCGGTGCCCCTGGGCCACGCCACCAGCCCCACTGTAGTCACGTTGGGGTCATTGGCCGCCACGTATTGGGTGTCCACTGGGCGCTCGGGCCGGAAGGTGATGCTGCTAATGAGAGTCAGATTCCTCTTCTCACAGATGCCCTGGAACAAGCTGCCGCAGGTAATGAGCTCCCTGCCATAGGGGTCCACCAACAGTAGCTTGTTGTGGTTGTCTGTCGACGTGGCATGGGCACAGTCATTGGCGGTGACCGGGGGCAGGCAGTCCTTGCTGTCATCCTTGGGTCCCGTTCGCTCCACCACCGGTTCCCTCAGCTCAGAGGTCAGCTGGAACAGGGAGTTCACGGCACCGATGTACACGTTGCCCGTCTCAGGGTCCACCGTCAGGTGCTCGAACGTGTTCTCAGGCCTGCGGAAGATCCTGTGCTGCTCTCTGCCGCCAACACACAAACTGGGGCAAGCGATAAGCAGGAGGATTATCCCAAACAGCATGGTCAACGTGCTGGAAAACAACAACAACAAATTACACTTGTATTGCGCCTTTGACATCGGGAGGACATCCCAAGGCCCCGGTCAGTCAAGGATTTGATTTCCGTGATTCTGCACCACCTTAGAATTCAAGACAATTCTTCTCCAACAATGCTCCGTTTCCATTTGGCATGTGAGTAGGGGAGTGAATATATGTATGACGTACGGTGGATGTGTGCGAGTGGAGGTGTGAGTGGGGGAGTGAGTGTATGAAGGGGGTGGACATGTGTGTGAGTGCGGAGAGCTATAATGTTTTCAATACGGTCAATACATAAGCTCAGGAGAGAGATGGCGACTGGGCAGCTTAGATGAAATGACAGCATAGAGAGCAGTTGGTGAGTGTGGAGTGGACAACCCCGAGAGACTACGGAGGCAGATTGTGACAATAGATATGAGGAATTGTCCTCTGGGTGAAGAAATTGTCTGTCTGTCCTGAAATTGCCCTTCACAACCCTTGAACCTGAACTTTCTTGCTCTGCTGCCTTAGTGTATCTATAATAAAAATAATTCATCCATTTGTTCAGTGCCTTTCAGATTGGGAGGCCATCTCACAGCACTTCACAGGATTTTCTATACAACAACAACTTGCATTTATATCGTGCCCTTCACGTGGGGTAGTGTCCCGGAGCGCTTCACAGTGACGGAGTCTCACAACGAGCCGGGGGAGAGGGAGGTGACCATAAGCACAATCAAAAATGTAGGTCTTTAGCCTGGGATTTGAAAGTGGGGAGGGAGAGTCAAGGTGGAGCAATTGAGGGAGGGAGTTCCAGAGTTTTGAGGCATAGTGGCTGAAGGCCACCGATGGTGGAACAAAGGGCACAAAGGAAAAATAGGAAGCCGGAGCCAGCCAATCGGAGGCAGCAGGTGATGGATTGGGGGGTAAGCAAGTCGGATATGTAGGGAGGTGAGAGGAGAGAAGTGATTTAAAAATGAGTGAGAGGATCTTGAAATCGATCCATTCGGTGATTGGGAGCCAATGGAGCCTGCCAAGGACTGGTGTGATTGGGATACGAAGGTTTGTGCGGTGAGTATCCAGGCGGCGGAGTTTTGAATCAATTCTATTTTATGTATGGTGGGGCTGGGGAGACCAGCGAGGATGGCATTGGAATAGTCCAGCCGGGAAGTGTTGAAGGCATGGATGAGGGTTTCAGTTGCTATGGATGTGAGGTAGAGACAGAGACAGGCATGTGGCTGAGGTGGAAAAAAGCATTCATGGTCAGGGAACGGATGTGTGTTAGAAAGGAAAGCTGGGGATCAAACCTAAGTTGTACATGGGTTCGGTTGAGTCTGAGGGACATCCAAGGGAGGTTAAGGAGTTCGGACCCGCAGGACAGAAGACATTGACAGAAGCCAAAGAATATAGCTTCCGTCTTGCCGACATTCAGCTGCAGAAAACTTGTGCTCATCTACGCCTTGATATCCATTAAACAAGCTGCCAGGACATCAGTGGACCGGGAATCGCAGCTGGAGGAGGAGACATAGATTTGGGTATCATCCGCAGACTTGTAGAAGTTGACCCAATATCTGTGGATGACATCGCCGAGAGGAAGCATGTAGAAGTCGTAAATCCACCATAAGGTGGATTATGCATTTTGTATGTGAGCGAGACAGCCAATTTGCATATAGCATAGTCCCACAAACAGCCATAAAGTGAATGATCAATATGTGTCTGGGGATTATTGGCCAGGACACCGGGAGAGAGAAACTCCCTTCTCTTTTGAATGGTGCAATGGATCCTTAACATCCACTGGAATAGATACATGGGACCTCAGTTTAACGTCTCATCTGAAAGTTGAATGCGGCACTCCCCCAGCACCCTACTGGAGTGTCAGCCTAGACTGTGAGCTCAAAGTCCCAATGACCTTCTGACTCAGAGGCAGGAGTGCTACCCACTGAACCAGACTGACATCTACTGAAAGTAAAAGCATAAACATGTGATCAAAACACCAGTAGATGGAGGTTTAATGGCTCCAATAGGGAGAAGGTCTCTCTGATCTGGCTAATGCTGTTCTTGGTCAGAGATCAGATAAGCTCAGCTAAGTAGCATTTTATGGAGTATTCAGCAAATCTCAGGAGATCAATTGTCAAGAGTGGTTACACCCAATGCTTATGTTCAGGATGTTTTTTTCTTCCCTCCAACACCTCTCCCACCACCGACACACCTACACACCCCAGAGGTTCGCTCACACAGCAACAATAACTTACTCTACTTTACTAACTTGAGAGAGGAGGTGACCATAGGCGCAATCAAAGTGGAAAGTCTTCAAGTGCGATCCTGAAGAGGGTCAAAGAGGGGGTGAGGAGAGGGATTGAGGCAGGGAGTTCCAGAGGTTCGGGGTTGAGTGGAGAGGGGGGGGTCAAGACATGCAGGTGGAGCAAAGGAGCACAGAGAGAAGATTGGGTGTGAGAAGGTTGGAGAGGTCGGCAGGCGCTAGGTCATCAAGGGATTTGTAGCTGAGGGTAAGGATCTTGGAATCAAACCGCTCTGTGACAGGGAGCCAGTGGAGCATGTGGAAGTCGTAAATGATGGGACTGGGATTCCTATCCCTGACTCCGAGTTACTGCTCTCCTGGAATAAACTGAGGCTCCTGGACATCATGTGTTGAGAGGCTGTTATCACGTGTGGTGGGGGGAAAGAGATCATTGATCAGCCACATACACCCCCACCACCCTGTACTCTCTCACACATACACACCATGCCTATTCACGTCCTACCCACCCCTCCCCAGAGGCACACACACAGTCTCTGTGTCATACACAACCCCTACCAACACATTTTCATACCAAAATCTACTCCGCTGGCTCCCTCGCTCACACTCACAGATCCAGGAGACAGACCAACAGTTGGCTGGTGGGAGGGGGGGGGGGGGCGTGCGGATACATGTTGCTCTTTGTTGAGCTGTGACGCTGGCTTCTCTGAAGCTAATCCCTTTCTCAAGGACTTTGCAAAGCGTCTGCAAAATGAAAGCACCACAAACTCACAGGCTGCAAACCTGACGGTGGGTGGCCAGGCCCCCTTCTTACCCCACCTCTTATCCCCCTTCTCTCCCCAACCCCCAGCCCTCACGTCAACCCCCAGCCCTCACGTCAACCCCCAGCCCTCAGCCCTCACCTCAACCCCCAGCCCACACCCTCCCCCCACACTAATGAGCAGCGAGATCTAGCACTTATGAATAGCTGCTACAGCCACTAACTTTGCACAACAACCAGCCTGGAACTTTATCCTGAAGGATTAACTTTACTTGGACACTGGCCCGCACATGGCAGCGATCAGATAAAACACCAACATTTAAAATAAACTTAAAACAAAGATGAATTGCTGCTCCGAGCAGCTCACCTGCCCTGTCCATGCTGACCGGCAACTGCTCTCTGCAGACAGCCTCTCTCTCTCTCTCTCCCTATTCACTGTACTTGCTCTCTCTCTATCACCCTGTGCGCTGTGCGAGTTGCTGGGTTACAAGTGATTAGTGGGGTGAAAGGGCAATAGCTGGGAGTGACTCACCCATTCACAATGTGACGACCAGCCTCGTCCACACAAGCAGCACAGCCCCGGCTAATCTGATTTGTGAGCTACTCCCTCCATCCCTCATACACTTACATCATTGGTTGCATACTGACGCCCTCACTGACTCAGGATTTACTGCAAAATGTAGTGACTGTGTATTTTATAATAATATAATAACCTTTGCATTTGATATAGCGCCTTATTACATCATTGAGACGTCTCAAAGCGTTTCACAGGGTATATTGTAAAGTGAATTGACTGTGTATTTTTGGGCGAAATGTGGCAGCCAATTGTGCACAGTAGAGTGACCAATTTTTCAAAAAACATTTTGGAGGCATTATTACCCCTGGAAAGCGATCCACCAATCAACTAACTCGGGTTTCGACTTATTCCTAGGTAAACCGGTGTGAGGAGTAAGGAAACTTGCCTAAGGTTTCTCCCTGCCCTATAATCAAACCTGGGCCCTCTCGCTTGAGTTACAAGTGATTAGTATACCAGTCACTACACTATGGGACTCCACAATTTTACACTCACATTCATATATAAAACACCCAGTAACAACAGAAAGCAGGACTATAGAGGTCTCCCACAGGAACAGTGTTGCAGGAGGAGAGAGCTGCAATGTTTATCAGCGCCATACTTGAGCACAAACCTTCCCAAACACTACAGACAACATTCAGCGCAGCCCCTCTAACTCCCAAACACCTCAAACACTTCATCGGCAATTGCTGAGAATTGCTAGTGTGTATTTTTCAAGCACAGGCACTAGCTAAACTGTGCATTTTATGTCAGGAGGATGTCTCAAGTACTGTAAACTGAATGTGTAGTTTGTGTGGCTGAACGCAGCAGCTAATTTGCACAAACAACTTTTTTTTAAATTTGGGGAATTGTTGGGCAGGACACCGGGAGAAACTCCCTTCTCTTTTCAAGTTGCACCATGGAAAACTATAATGTCCACCTGACCAGGCAGATGGTATCTTGGTTTAATGTCTCATCCGAAGGATGGCATCTCTAACAATGGAGCTCCCCCATTGCCTTTCCCCCAACCTTCTGACTCAGAGGAGAGAATGCCACTGACTAGATAGACCAGGCTGACATATTGCATATAGAAAGTAAGAATAGGAAACACAGGTACTTAATGGATAGGATAGAACTTGCCAAGGAGGAAGCTGAAAGAGATCGAGGGGTGTAAGTTAACTTGTGTCTAGGGTTGTTAGTTGACTCGTCACTCACTGGGTCAAAAACAGGGTGAGACACCAATAAACAAGACAAACAGGATACTGGGCTATATTGTTAAATCAAGTGAATTCTGAACCCATAAGTCATACTCGGGCTGTACAGTGCTCTGGGCAGGCTACACCAGGAAAAACATATACAGATGACAACAACAACAACAAGATTCCATTTATTGAGCGCCTTTCACGTCGGGAGGACGTCCCAAGGCGCTGTACAGTTGGGTCAGGACCCGA